TGTGTTGGACCAAAAAGAAGGCCGGGCCCGCAGGGTTGTCTACTTGTAGCTCCGCAGTAGCCGAGCCATTACACGACTTCCTGCGACACCTGGTTTGGTTCTTCACCTACTTCTTGGGCACGATCGTTACCAGCTACCCCACTTTCATGGTAGCGGAGCCTCGCTGAGGCTCAGAACTTTGTCCAGGGCAACAGTTTTCTTTCTTCTTGGCTTTGACTGCCTGGGGAGACGGCCGTCAAAGAGTGATGAGTGGGAATACTGGTGACAGCTCCACGAGCAGCACTGCAGGCACCCGAACGAAAGATGGGGTGCCCACCTGGAACGGTGAGGCCAACTCCTTCGTGGCTTACGAGGAGGCAGCGCTGTTATGGGAGCAATCTCTCACCTGGGAGAAGAGATACACCGCGGGGCCACGGTTAGTCCAGGAGCTAACCGGGGCTGCCAAGCGGTTGGTGGCCGGAAGAGACGCCGGCTGGGTGGCCTTCCGAGGCGGAGTCACGATCCTCATGGACCACCTGCGGAAGGCCTTGGGGAAACCTCGAGTGAACGAGGTAACGGACCTGCTGGCCACCTACTTCAAAGGCTGCAAGCGGAAGAGCCAGGAGTCCATGAACGAGTATGTGACTCGCAAGTTTGAGGCCTACTTCCGGGCCAGCCAGGCTTTGAAGCGGGTGGCACCGCACTATGAGACAGAGTCCATGGCCACGACGACGGGAGCTCCTGTCTGGAGCCGGCGTTCCAGCTGGGACAACCGGAGCTGGCATAGCAGTGGCCCCAGTGAGACAGAGTCTGCGGGGCCAGCCCCACTGGGAGTGGTCCTCTTCGGCATCTTCTACGACCTCCACACAAGAGAGTGGGGGGAGGCAGGTTGAGCTCCTGCCTCCCTTCATCCAAGGATGGTACTTGATGACCGATGCAGGTCTCGACCACGCCGAGAGGAACCTGGTGATGACTGCCTTGGGACTTCTCTCCCCAACGAGTGGCGCAGGAGCTGCGCAACCAGTTCCCGGAGACCGAAGTCCGGCGACGTGACCAAGGCAGACGCTTCCAAGGATTCATAGGTGACATCCCCGAGGACTCCGACGAGGACCTGGAGATCTCCGGCAACACGACTGCCGAGCTGCTGGAGGAGGGCTTGACTGCAGAGGGGGCGGCGCTCATTGTAGATGCAGAGTCACAGGCTCAAGAAGCTTTGGCCGCTCTCCACCAAGCACGACGCACCCTTCGAGACGCACGGCAGCGACAACATCAGGTGAAGCAGTCGAGGAAGTACTACACTTCCGGGAGCTCAGCGAAATCTTCGGCCGGAAGCTCAGCCCCTTCGACCCGAGACGATTCCCAGTTGGACTGTCTTCGTTGTGGGAAGCGGGGGCACAGGGCAGCCAACTGCCCCCACAAGCCGATCTCCGCCCAGGCTGATGGGACCTGGCCTGCTGCAGGGAGCGAACCACAACAGGCACCCTTCGTCTGCTATGCGGACACCGGTGAAGTCGAAAGCGCCTTCACGGGTACAGGCTGGGAAAGCCACCAACCCAGAGATGGCTTGCAGTAAGTAGCCTTGAGTCAAAGGAGGGCCTCACGACTCAAGAGGCGGTGAAGGCAGGGTGGGGGAGCCACACAGACGATTGGCAGTGTGGCGGCCGTGGAGGCGGTCCTCCAGAAGAACCTTTGTGATCATGGAGACAGCCGACTTCGTGGCGTGAGCACCCTGGGCGTCCCCACGTTCTCCTTCGGCAACTCCACGGAAGATCGATGTCTGAGCACTGCCAGGCTGGGAGTGAGCGCAAACGGAGCCCCAGGAGAGATCAGTGTGCACACTTTAGACCGGGGACAAAGTCCCATCTTACTAAGTATCGACACACTCCGGGGGCTGGGAGCGCTGATAGACTTTCAGTCTGACCTTCTTGTTTTTAGGAATCTCGATTCCCGCCGTATCATAAAGCTCGGCCGCAGCCGTACCGGGCACCAACTCCTGCCCATGACAGAAGATTGGCTGCGTTGTGCTCATGTGACAACCGTAGCTGTTCCAGGCTTGTCTGCATATGTGGACCCACGTTAGGGACAGCTCCTCCCGATTCTCAGCCCTGACGAGAAAAGGGAGGTACCAGAAGTGATGTCAGGGAGAATTGTACAGAATAACCCCCAACGACACTTTGCGGATGAACCCCAAGGTTTGGTTGTTAGTAGTAAGTTGCACGGTAATTCCGATGCGCAAGGGAATGCTCTTGAGTGCAGTCGACAACCCGTGAGAACAGCTGAACACCTTCGAGGTTGTAAAGGAGAAGTGGCATCTTGTGTATGTGGCAGCAATCCTGGCTTACAAGTTAGCCCTCCGGTACTTGCTCGTGACTTGCCCCAACATGGCCGGCCTCAGTTCCATGACGAAGTCGGACATGATCTTGGTCCTTCGCACGTATGGCGAAGAGCCACCAACAGCATGGACTCGAGTGGACCTGCGCCATCGGATCGACGAGCTGGTGGAGAGCAAGGAGATCGAGATCCAGACGGGCAAGAAGGCTGGCACGGCCTTGCAAAAGGCAACCACGGAGCTGAACAAGACGAGCCGCAAAAAGTCCGACTTGATCCACCATGCGCAGACCAACCTCCTGCTGTCGGTCCCACGATCCCGGGCATCCAGAAGGCGGCCATGGAGAAGTTGCTGACGGAGATCCCCGGCGAGGATGGCGACTTGATGGGGTACGGGAAATTCTCCAATCGAACGTACCTCGATGTGAAGGAGAACGAGCCCAAGTACTGCGAGTGGACCAAGGCCATCAGCAAGGAGGAGAGCACTTCGACCTACATGAAGCGGTTCGTCGACTACCTCATGCAGCCCGAGGAGACCGAGAAGAAGCGGTCCCCGATCAAGGTCAACACCGTGAAGGACACGGCCAAGAAAGGATACAAGACCGAGGTGGTGAAGCGGGAGGAGGGGAGCGCGCCTCTACCCACTTCGACGGCAAGCTCCTCGACGGAAGCCACGGTGAACCAGCTGACCCAGTTGGCGGGGACCCTGATTGCGGAAGTGAAGGAGCTGAAGGAGGAGCCCTCGACGGCGGTCCCCCGGAAGATCGCGGCCACCTCGGATGTGAAGATGGGCACCTCCCACAAGGACTCCCGATGAGTCAAGTAGCTGCGAGTGCACTTGCGCATAAATCCCAGTTGGTAGTTCCGCACATGTTCGAAGAACTCACAGGGAGTAGTCGTGTTGAGTTCATGGAGATCGCATGTGAGCCTGACAGTTTGTTAACCAGTGCCGTTCAAGCAAGGACGGGACGAAGCGATGCCGCATGTAGGAGCTACCTCTGGTGCGGGCATGACCTTGCCACGACGACGGGTCTAAGCCGGGTTCTTGAACAAATTTACGCCCTTCAACCTAAGCGGGTGTGGGTCTCCCCGGTTCTGGAACTCCAACGTGACCCGCGGAAGCATACTCTTAA